CTCTATTTTTGATCCCAAACTGCTTCTAATAATTTTGTTTTTGAATTTCTGGGGAGTAAGAAGGTTTTTTCTTTTTTTTTTTACGGTTTTATTTTTCAGAGCAGTTTTAGGTTTACAGTTAAACTGCAAGGCAGGTACAGGTACTTCTTTGCCCGGCCCGTGGACACTCCCCCATTGCAACATACAAGGACACGGCGTTATCACCCAAAGTTCATGGTTTACTTTGGGGGTCGCTCTTGGTGTTTTGCCACCTATGGGTTTAGAGAAATGTACGATGGCATGTGTCCCTTGTTTCATCACACAGTATTTTCTGCTGCCCTAAAGATCCGCTGTGCTCCACCGATCCATCCACACCCCCCCGACTAATCTACTGACCCTTCTAATCTTTCTATCGTCTCCATAGTTTTGCGTTTTCCAGAACATCAGAGAGCTGGGATCATGCAGTATGTAGCCCTTCTGACTGATTTCTTCCACTTAGTGACATGCAGTCAAGTTTCCTTCATGTCTTTTCATGGCTTGACAGCTCATTTCTTTTCAGTGCTGAATAACGTTGCATGGTCCACACAATCCTGAGTGGCTTCGCAGCCTGCATGCCCGTGAGGCCGCTGGGCCCTAGGGGGCTCCTCTGTCCACACCTCCCTCTGTCTGCTTATATTTTCTGGTCTCCTTGGTTCTGAATGTCCAAGGCACCGTCCCCTTCTGGTCCGCTCAGGCCTGGCTTGTAGCTCGGGATTCTCTGGCCGCACTTGCCCTGCAGGGGGCCATCCCCCCACCCACGGTCCGGTGTCCCCGTCGTAGGCCCCCAGCCTTTCCCCTGAGAATGTTTTCAGATCCATCTTTGACCTTCACGCCTGCCTGGCAACCGGGAGGGCGTTTCCATGTTTCCGCTTCGTGCGTTTCCCCTCAGTAAGGTCTCCTTGGTTCCGCCTTGATTTTATCATTTTGAAAAAATTTTTGGCTTACAGAAATATGGAACAAATACTGTGAAAAATCACTGCATGCCCTCCAGCCAGGTTCCCCAAACGGTAATGTTTTATCACCTGTCTGTTTTAATCCACGTGTGTGTGTATGTCAACACACACACACACAAGCACACACACTTATCTTTGCCTGAGCTGAAAGTTGCAGCTGGGAAGCCCCCTAGACTGGAGTGTTTTCCTTAAAAACAAAGACATTCTCTTACATGATCAGAGTACAATGATTAAAGCCAGGTACTTAGCATCAAATACAGTGCTAGCATTAATCTATAAGCTTCCCTTGAATTAGCAGCTGCCCCAGTAATGCTCTTTGTGGCAAAAGGGGAAAGAAGACCGGACTCAAACTTTGCTGCTGTGAAGGTCAGAGCCCCGTCCGTGGGTGGGTGGGCTGGGGGGGCCCGAAGCTTTAAGACCATTTATCTGGACATGAGTGCAATAGAGCCTTAGGAAACTGAATGTCATTTTGGGATATGGGGAGCCAGTGTGACGGGACGGGGCGCTCAGGGATTGTTAGGGCTCATTCGCAGCTGGCACGGCGGGAACGTGCGCAGATGGGCTTGGGGAAGCCTGACCTGGTTTGTGGTGATTTCACATGACTTTCCCAGACTCTCCTCCCGTCAATTCTACGTGCATATTCTTTCCATCCCATTGTCACTTGTGCATTTTTCTTTTCTCTTAACTTATTTTGTGCTTTTCAGAGTCACATGTCCCCATACATGTAAGTTTCTTCAGTAGTTGTGTTATTCTCAGAGCTCCTGGCCATGGGGCTTCTTTTATATTCGGACAGATTGAGGAAACAAGAAAGGGAGACTGAGAGAAGCACGCCGGTTCATAAATACAGACTTAGCTCTGTTTATTATTTAGGAAAACCCCCCAAAAACCCCAGCGTGCACGCATTGCAGGTAACCTGCTGATGACAGTCTGTGGTGGGCGTTCGGCTCTCTTTATCTGAAATGAGAGCTGTGTAGTCGTTCCGCAGCTCCCAGCTTTGAGCAAACTGTCAGCAGTTATTCATCTGTGTCTGTTGTTACATTAAGCTCCCTCTAACGGCCTACTTTTTGATAATTCTTGATCAAAGCCATCTGAGATTATATCCACTCTTTCAACCTTCCTCAATGGTAGATTCAGTCCCATCTCCCCCAGACATTAGGTCCCAAACGGGAAAGACTGCCACAGTCGAGTGTTTACGCCATTTCATTTCGGTCATGTGTGTGGAAAGAGTCACATGGGATGCTGCTTTGTACCCTGTTTCAGTAGGAGACTGGGGCATGGAAGAGCAGATCTGGAGATTCCAGGATGTGGAGCAGAGTCTCGAAAGAGAAGTGACATTTTCTTTTCTCTTTTTAACTTATTTTGTGCTTTTCAGAGTCAGATGTCCCCATACATGTAAGTTTCTTCAGTAGCTGTGTTATTCTAAACTATATTTCAGACTCAGCCTGAAAACATGTTCCTTCAAGACTCAGACTCCTTGAATGCAACCTGTTTGGAAAACATTTGAAATATAGTTTAGATATGGAACTCTGTGTGGAAACAAATTCTGGTAACATACAGAAAACTAGTTGGCCATAATCCATCCAAATTTGAAGAAAAACAATTTGAAGGGAATGCCTGTCAGAAGTTATTCAGTCCCAAGTCATGCCTTCAGAGTGACCTAAGGATGCATGCTGGTGAGAAATCCCCCGACAGTGACAAATGTGGGAGTGTGCTCAGGGGGAACGGGGGATCGGTCAGCATCAGAAAAGGGGCACTGATGGCAAATCCTATAAATGCAATGAATGTGGCAAAGTCTACACACAAGAGCTAGATCTCATCCAACATCAAAAAACTCATACTGAGGAGAAGAAGCCCTACAAATGTAAAACACGTGGAAAGGCCTTTTCCTTGAAATCATCCTGGGTCAATCACGAGAAGAGGCGTAATGTAGAGAGAGCCTCTGGGTGTAACGAACGTGGGAAATCCCTCAAGCAGAACTCCGCCCTCCTTCAGCAAAGGAAAACAGCTGGACAAAAGCTCTGTGGCTGGAATGTCCACGCAAAAACTTCCACTTCCAAGCCAGATCTCTTGAAACACCAGAGGACACACACAGGAGAGAAACCTTATAAATGCAGCATATGTGAAAAGGCCTTTGCCCAGAAATCAAATGCTGTGGACCATGAGAAAATTCATACTGGGGAGAGAGCTTATGAGTGTGATCTATGCGATGATACCTTCATCTAGAAGAAAAACCTGATTCAGCATAAAAAAACCCATACTGGGACCAAGTCCTATACTGGTGATAGATGTGGGAAAGCTTTCATTCAGAAGTCAAACCTTCACACCTATCAGAAAGTTCACAGTGGAGAGAGGGCCTACAGCTGTCAGAAGTGTGGGAAATCCTTCAGCCGGAAGCTAAGCCTCAATTTGCATAGAAAGACCACACAGGACAAAAACCTTACAAATGTTCTGAATGCCAGAAGGCTTTCATTGACAAGTCCTATCTCATTAGGTACCAGAAAAGAATGCATAACAGAGAGGAACCCTGTGCACACGAAAAATATGGGGATGCCTTCCCTTGAAGGGTAGCCAGGAATAGTTTCCTAGGAATTCAACCTGAGCTGGCCTGTTATTAGACGAGGACAGTGAGGACTTAATATCCGAACTCTCCCTTGAAAAGTAATTTGGCTTATGTGCTCAGCAACCATTTATTAAATGCCTTTTGCATACCAGGAACTTTTAAACACTGAGGATGTAGCAATAAACCAAACCTGCCAAAAACTCTCATGGAATTTCATTCAAGCAAATAATGACCAATGGTATCCATTTCTTTAAAAATGTAAATACTTTTCACTCACTGGGGTTGATAAACGTAAGAAAATATAAAAGCATAGTGTTGCATCAGTAATATGTTCCGGATTGAGTATATATTTTATTTGGGAACACGTTAAGTAAATACATTTAGAAGCCCAGGAGAAATAGTAGTAAAAAAACCTGATAAATCTACAAAATTGGAAAAGGAAGAGTACATGGACACTTCTACCTGTAAAAGTATCTCCTCCTAGGTTTTCCAAAAGAAAGTGGGGATGAGTCAGCTCACTTGATGGGTGGGAGAAGAAACCCCAGCACGGTCGGCTCCAGTCATCCTGGGGTTCCTTTCCTGTCTGCTGGAAGCAGTCTGCCCCCAGGCAGCTCCTTACCTCTCCAGGTCTCACGTGTGTGTGTCTGCTTGGCAGGCCCAAGGCCACGTGTGGACCAGGGGATGTAAGGTGGCCTGGAACATAAGCATTGTAAGCTATCCAGTCTTTGCAACTGTGCTGCCAGTTTTCTAAGCCATAAACTGGGAATAACACCACCTACCCGTATTTGTTGTGGAGATTGAAGACTGAATGACCTCATAAAACATAGGATAATGCCTGGCATAGAGGAATCGCTGAGGAAATATTTATTATTATCAGGCATGCTCTGAGATCTCTCTTGGCTCTGACATACTATAACTTTGCACACAATTTGACTGGTTAATTTGTTAGAAAAGGCATTATTTCCAAATCTTTATTATGCCTTGCTTGACATACAAATGGCATAGTTTATTTATCCAACATGGGAGATAATTTTAAGGCTATATATGGACACATCTGTAGTAATATTAGATCGCATTGATGGCATCAAAAAGAAAGCTCACCTTTGAATACTTATGTTGTTAAAATGTCTCATAATTACCCATTTCCCTTTTAGGGAGAGTGCAGAAGGAAAACGGCTCCTTTCTGGGAATCTTAGGCACCTCGCGTGTAATAGCCTGTTTCTCTCTCTCTGGCGTGCGTAACAGTGCTGCCAGTTTCCTGCTGAAAGTGACGGGCCACTTCGTTTTATGGCACATTTGTTTGTAAAGTGAGTTCATTTAAAGACGAACTGTTAGGCAGAGTTAGATCATGTGGGAAATTTGCAGTGGTGGTCCTGCAGAGTCTAAGGTGTGGGGATTCTTGACTGAACGGGGTCAGAACCCACGCTCGCAAAGGCAGCCTCACCGGCGTCTGATTCCTGTCGGAACAGCCGGGAAAGCCACTCGGTGCCTGGCCTCCAGCACCACCCAGCGACAACATGCAGCACCTGCCGCAGAAATGCACGATGCAGGCCCGCCCGCCGGAGCGACGGGCTCAGGCAGCCGAGGGGCGCCTGCCTCCAGAGTTCCTGCTCTCTCCGGACCTGTACGCGCATTAAAGGCTTAGCAAATTGCAAACGCCCGGACGGGCTCTTAGCTTGCCTCCTTGTGTTGGTGGCCTCGGTCCTTCCTGGCCCGTGAAGCCTACATGTAAAAGGAAAAGAGGAAAGAAATCTCGATTACTTAGAGCTGAGCCTTCTCAAGGTAAGTTTTCGGGAGCCCCCGACCCAGGACCCAGCACTGTTTACACGGCCCCACCCGCCACGTGACTCTGCTCGAGCCCGCCGACCGGGAGCGCCGTCCTCACCCATGGGCGATGCTGGGGGGACGCCGGGGACACTGGGTTGTCACAGTCGGCCTGGGTGGGGGCGCGGGTGGTGCTCCTGGCACCCGGCGGGTGGAGGCCAGGCTGCGGCCCGTGCAGGACGCACGGCCGCCCAGCCCCCGCCCGCAGCGCCCAGGCTGCGGAGCCCGCCGTCGGGGGGCTTCCCCCACACCGCCCGCTGCCCCCCACGCTCCCCTCCGCCAGCGTCACCCACCGTGCGCCGGTCCCGGCCCCGTAGGCACGGAAGGTGCCGGAGGAGGCCCGCGTTGCCCGGGCCCAGCCGGGGGCGGTTTGCACAGCCTGGGCTCATCAGCCCCGCCTGGGGGCGTCTGCCCTTGTAACCAGCCCCTAACATCCAGCACGCCTCAGATCGATGATCTGTGAAAACCAGGGCCCGCCATGACCAGTGTAGGGGAACACAGGCGCCCGGCAGGGGAGGCCCAGGTGGTGACGCCGCGTCCGTGCGAACGAGGGCGGAGTCCGCGAGGGGCCGGGGAGCTCGGCCCCGCGTGCTCACGTGATAAACGCCGACAGCGGGGCCAGAACAGGGGAGGAAGGCGGCCCAGGATGCTGAGAAGCGTCCTGACGCACAGGCAGCGTCTGGTGACGGAGGCCGCGCGAGGCTCCTGCGGGGGCCCACGGAAGGCTCCTCGGAAGCGGTGATGCCGGCGCCGGGGCGCGCAGGCCCCTTCCCCCGCGCCAGAGACAGAGAGGCCGAGGGGGACAGGGACAGACAGGCACGAGGCAGAATATGACTGGGAAGGAGAAGAAATCTCCGGTTTTGTCCGGGTTTTCCCGGGTGGGGGTTGCATTGCCCAGGGTAGCGGACGAGTCGGGAAGAGGAAAATGACTTGAACTGTGGAAAAGCGCAGAGTGGGGCTGGTGGGGTCACATGCCACCGGGACCCTGTGCGCGCGCCTGGCTTATTTCACTGAGCGTAATGTCCTCCAGCTCCATCCATGTTGCTGCAAATGGTAGAATTTATTCTTTTCGTATGGCTGAATAGTATTCCATTGTGTGTATGTACCACATCTTCTTCATCCATTCATCTACTGATGGACACTTAGGTTGCTTCCATAACTTGGTTATTGTAAAAAGTGCTGCAATAAACATAGGGGTGCATATGTCTTCTTGAATCTGAGAAGTTGTATTTTTTGGGTATATTCCAAGGAGCGGGATTCCAGGCTCAAATGGTATTTCTATTTTTAGTTTTTTGAGGAACCTCCATACTGCTTTCCACAATGGTTGAACTAGTTTACATTCCCACCAGCAGTGTAGGAGGGTGCCCTGTGTTTTTACTTGCTAATCTGGCAACCTTACCCCGGTTCAATAGCCCAGATCTGCATTTCAGAGCCACCGAGAGCCCAGAGAGCTCACCAGGGGCAGGCGCACAGTTAAAGACCAAGGTCAGGGGGTGGAGGTGCGGTCGCGGGGGTGTTCCTCTGGGGCACGTGGCTGGTGGCTCTGCCGCTGCCTCCTCTGTCCCCCAGCCCGCCTCGGTTTCCTGTTACAATGGAGGGTAGAGCTGTGCCTGGCTCGAGGGCTCTTCGGAGGGGAAATGAGATGGCCTTGATAAAGCATTTCTCATCCGAATCTGGTGCCCAGAATCCAGACTATGAGAGTTCCCTTCCGCAGAATTATCGGCCCAGTCGTATTTACGCATATGCCTGCACATGCACGTACAGACGTGTTCCTAGGGAAGCAACAAATACATCCCAATATTTTTAGCAAGAGGGTACAAATTAGGTACTGCAAAACGTCTCATTCCTAGGGAAATTGATTCCAGAAGCGTTCTACACTTAGTGTGGCCAGACAGCACTATAAAAGCTTCTAAAATACATAAAGCCTGGGGATTAAAGAAGGCATGTTGTCAGTTCCCACACTTTGGATGGAAGCTGGTGGAGGACTGAATCCAGGGGTAATCTGCAAAACAGGTGGGTGTTCACATCAATGTGGTTTTAAACAGATGTCTCTGGATACTGCCAGTATTGTTTCATGTCTAAGAGAAACCTTCCCCACCCTTAATTACATGGCGATGTATAGAATTCTTGGACTCCGGCCTGACCTTCAGCTCAGTGGAAAGTCCTGTCGATGATTTTCGAGCTGGGGTTTCATCTGGCCACTGGGGAGACACTAATGTCCTGATATTTTCTCCCAGAGCACAAGCTTGCTGTGCTTTGTGCTTTTCACGCCTCAGTGGTAGGCCTCCAAATCCTTCTCCATTCCCACTGCCCCCAGCAGATCCACACCTCCCCCACACATCCCCACATGGCCGGAGGAACACCGTGATCTCTCTCTGTTGGTGCCAGGCAGGCCCTCTTGGCAAACCCCACTGGGATCCACCGAATCGCTCGAGGTGGAAACCCAGAAGTGATTCCTCATTTATGCCCTTGCCTGGAACCCATGCGTGCAATCCATCTGCAGTGGCCATCGCACCGACCTTCTCCTCACCTGTTGTCTCCAAAATACAGTGTGCAGCCCTCTCTCTCCTGCGCCAGATCACCATCACCTTAGGCCTCTGTGTGAGGCCGGTGCCCTCGTTTCATTCAGGCCTCTCTGTCTCGCGACTGCTTGGGTGTGAATCAGGTCCTTTTCTCAGTCCCTGCAAAACCACTAATTTGAACCTCATCCTGTTGCCAAGGGAAGAAAATCTGGGGAGAGGAAGAGAAGGGCCGGCCTCATGAGTGAGAAGAACGTGGGGACTGGAGCCAGTGGAAGCTTCAGGTCTCTCTGAGACGGAGCCAGTATTGTCCGTGGTTTGTGGGCTGTGAGGTTTCTGTTAACCCCTGAAGACACCAATTCCGGCCCCTCACTGTCCTGGTGCACCTACAGACATGTGTGTGTGTGCACTCATGGGAGCTGCACGGGTCCGTGTGAACGTGTGCATTGTCATAAACACAGAGGGTGTATGAATCTGCTGAGGCTCCTATAACAAAGTGCTACAGACTGGGTGGCTTAAACAACAGACGTGCCTCACAGTTCTGCAGGCTGGATGTCCAAAATCAAGGTGCCAGCAGCCTTGGTGTCTGGTGAGAAGCCCTTCCTGCTTCGCAGGCGCCTTCTCACTATGACCTCACATTGTGGGAGGGGACAAGCGAACTCTCTGGAGCCTCCTTTTAAAAAAAAAAAAATTGAGTGGTAATTGACATATAAACATTATACTACTTTCAGGTGTACAATGTAATGCTTCCATTTGTATATATTTCAAAATGATCCCCAAAATAAGTCTAGGAACATCCATCACCACATGTGGCTACAAATTGTTTTCTCCTGTGAGGAGAACTTTTAAGATCTACTCTCTTAGCAACTTTCAAATATGCGATACAGTATTACTAACTATAGTGACCTTGTGGGGCCCCTTTTATAAGGGCGCTGATCCCATTCGGGAGGGCTCCCCCTGCCACCCTCCCAAAGGCCCACCTCCTAACTCATCACTCTGGGGAGTAGATCTCAGCCTATGAATTTTGGACAGAAACATTGGTCTATAGCATCAACCTAAGTCACCACCCCATCCACCAGCCCCCATGGTGTGCAGAGACAGTCTCTACCTGTATGTGTACTTATGTATTCTATTACATATTTTACATATTGTTAAAATACTTTTTATTGCATTGTATATATTTTTATATGTTACATGTTCTTTTTCCCCTTTTTTACACAATAGTAGCCACCCTTCACATTATTAGGCACCTTGTTTTCACTTCACTGTAGATTTTACCCTTTGGTTCCTAAAGAATGTCCTTAGAATTTCACACAACTGCACAGAATTCCATTGAGTGCATTTATCAGCATTTAGCTAGTCCCCTCTTGTAGAACATCTGAGTTTGTTCCCAGCAGCTTGCTATTACAAGCTGTGGTACAATAAAAACTAGAGTTGATAAAAATTTAAGTTTGCATTCACCAAGCAGAGCCTGTCAGCAGGACTGTGGCCCAACGTCCCGGGCTGACGCTGACTCCCCGGACTCCATGGATTTCAGACGATCTCTCTGCATGCATGTTGTAATAATATCTGAGTTGTTCGTCCCACTGCCTGGGACCATGACATAAGCACTTGGAAGTGTATTCCCCACATACTTCTGTGCAAATCTTCCCCTCCAAGCCACCATCTCATACTTCGGACCAGGATATTTTAGAGCCAGAATGGCCATGCTTTTGAAAAAACAGTCTGTGAGCAGGCCCCTCATCATTAGAAGAAAATAATGACAAGAGTTTATGCAGTTTTGTGGGAAAAAAAACAAGCCTGCACTTGCTCAAGCAGATGTTCACCGCCCTGTCCCCCACACTGTCTGCCTCCCTTCCTGAAGCCACAGAGACTTTGCCCAGGCACCGAACGTCACACTGGGAAGTGCCTGTTCTGAGATTTGCAATTGCGATTAATCATCTCAGCATCTCAAATCAACAGCCATCATTTTCTGGATGCGCTGCCAAAAGTCTCCATGTACTTTTTGCTTCCACTGATCTTGAAAGTAGTCATGCAGGATTCTTTGGTTTCATTCAAATTACCGTTGGTTTCTTGGGCTGGCTGGGGGCTCACAGGTACCGGAAGGTTGCCCGATATGTTCTGAAACAAGGGTAAGTGGACCCCTCAAATGTGTGTTCCTCCGGAGAAAGGCACTGCGAGCTTTTTCAGCCCCACTGTCATTCCTTACAATAAGTGTTTTTTTTTGCAATTATATTCAAGCGCCTACAACGCCCCGGGCACTCAATCAGCTCACGTAGAAGGAAGAATGAGAC